CGACCGAGCCGCGCGCGCGGCGGGGGAAAGCGGGGGGGCGACTTCTCTCTGCCTCGTGGCAGCTCTCTTCCCCGTTTTCTGCGCGCACACGTGTATTTCCGTGGCCGGGGGGTGGCGACTGAACTAAAGACGGAGCCACGGCTTCTGCTGGCGCTCAGGTGACTCGATGGCTCCTGCGCTCGGAGTGGAACCGCAGCCCGCCCTTTCCCGTCCGGCCGTTAGCCACTCGCAGCGCTAACGCCCCGACAAATCAAAAGATGCAACTGCAGAGGCGCCGAAACGCACCAAGTTCCTGCCTCTCAGCTCCTCCGCCCGCTCCGCGCCCAGGAAGCAGTGACTGAGCTCCTGGCCCCGCAGCCATTCTCTGAACTTGCAGGACTTTTTGCTCCGTTTGCCATGTTGCAGACAGTTTCCAGGACTTTTTGCGCCGTTTGCCATTTTGCAGACAGTTTCCAGGGCTTTTTGCGCCGTTTGCCATTGCTCAAGCCGTGTTGACCCAGGGGACAGCGGCCTGAGAGCAGCAGCCGCAGTGTCAGTGGGAGGCCGCCCCAAAGGCCCGCTCTGTCCTTGAGTTAGCTTGGAGGTTTACAAAGGACTGAGCATTTCACATGCATCATCTCATTTATTCCTCACTCATAAGCCCGGAGGGTAGTCCCTACACCAGAAGGTTGTGGGTTCGATTCCCAGCCGGGACAGCACCCAGGTTGCGGGCTCGAATACCGGCCAGGGTACACACCCAGGTTCGACCGACCAAGGGGCGCATAAGGGAGGCAACTGATTGATGTTTCTCTCACTTGGTTGCTTCTCTCTCAGTTCTCTCTCTCTTTTTCTCTAAAATCAACTAAAAAACACTTAAAAAAGTAATCCCCGGGGTGGCACAGATGGAACAAGGTGGAAGGCCTAGGCGACGGGGTCACACTTACATGTTCCTATGGAAACTTTGAATATTTGTTTTATACGGATTTTCATTCAATTCTCAAACATGCTACCACAGAGCGCCCCTCAGCTGCCAGGCAAGCATTTCAAAAATAGAAAATAAAAATTAAGAAAAGTAATCCCACGGGTCAAATATGGTTACAAGTCCCACTTTACCGAACCTTGAACTCATCTGCAAGGCGGGAACCAGTAGTCAGCACCCCACACCTCAGCGTCGCCTCCGGGACCTTACACC